TTGCGCGCGTGTGCGTGTGTGTCTGCGCGTTCGTTTGTGCGTGCGTGTTGTGTGTCATGACATGTTACATCCCCACATCATGTCTCACTTTAGCAGGAGGCAGACAGATGGAGACAGACAGACAGACATCCACATACTTCCACTACTTCCATCCCATAAGTGCACAGTGAAAATGCCCGTGGTGTTTACACCCTTTCGAGCACCGTCAGTAGTAAAGTGCATGGCGGGGGGAGGCGGAGGAGGGTACCGGAGGATGTGCTGTGATCTTACGGTGAAACAGGCGGTGTTGCAGCAGCGTCCCTCCGCTCTGCAGACTACAGGGAGCCGCTGCAGCCGCTCAGCAGCAGCAGCCTCAGCATCAGCAGCAGCATCTCCCTCTCTCCTCCGAAAACCCTCCGATCAGGACTGTCCCACATCTCTGCTTCGTGTGTGCTCAGCCTGCGGGGAATAAATCACGACCAGTCACTCAGGAGGAGCCCTCATGTGCCAGCCAGTCAACTCTCACTAAATCACTGCGATTAACGAGCTGTGGTCACCTATCTTAGTATTGCTAGATATTTCAAATACAAATGCTAGGCTACATATTTCACTGTGATCAAGCCTGTTGGTTCAGGGAAAAAGACCCACACTCACCCGACTGTAGAGTCCGTGTGAAGCGGTGATCCACATGCAGCCTGCTCCCTCTGCATACTTTAATTTGGGCTTCAAATACAGACTGTAGTTATGAATGAAACCTCACGCGATTAGACACACCCACCGCCCGCTCCCTACGCACCACGTGACCAGCAGTGATGATGATGCTGGTGGTGATGATGAGAGATGGAGGAGAGAAACTCATTCACAGCAGATGCCCATCAATGGCAGCTGCTGACGGAGCGATTGGTTGGTTGTCTATCTGATTAATGTTGCATAGATTCAGACATTGTATTCAATATTTAAAACGTTTACATTTGCTGCGTTCGAGTCTGTCACTGACGCTTTGTTGTACGACACACATGCACGGGGACAGATGGGTGTTGTAGACGTGTTCTGTAATCTCATGTTTTACCACCAGGTGGCAGCGTTGCACGGTTGTTTTCTGGTTGATAAACATATAGACTACAATACAGATCCTCATACAGCTTCTTAAATAAAGTTTGAATTTAGTAGAACCCATCAAAATAAGATAATTTAACACGAATACGAATGTTTCTCTAATGAAAGGTGAAAGATATGCCATAGCCAACTTTTGAGTGATTTGGTAACATTTTCATCGACCTGCACTCCATTGTGTAATGTAATCATTTGTATTAGTCTTATTTAACATAAAATAAGGGTTTTTGTGTCCTATATCACTGAACTACATATTTATTAACCATAGTATACAATTGTTCCTATAAAATGTAATTAAACTATTTTTATTTGAAAATAATGTATGTATTTTCCTTTTTAATTTAGAGTAACCTATTGCGATGTCAGTCAATTGCAGTCCAATAGGTTAAATGCATGGATCTCTTTGCTGTTTGAAAAATAAATTATGTCTTAACTTGTTTTAATGAAGAAAATTAAGTTAAGTTACACCCAGATATTTATACATTTTTTCTTCAAGGATTTGCCCAAATATTTAGTAGCCCTCCAGGTTTTGAACCTCTCAGTGTGGAAACAGGAAGTGCAAACACATTTTCCGGGTTATGTTATGTGATCAATCATTTGTCATATGAAAGTAGAAGACCTGTTTTTCGCAACTGAACAGTAAAACATTGACTTCATATTATTACTTTTCAGTAAAACTGAGATAATGTAATTGTTGCCATTTCACAAAACCATGCAATACAAGTTAAAAAGTCATAACTGCTGTACATTTGGATCATATTTTATGTCATGCCATGTTGAATTTATTTTAAAATGTTTGTCAAACCTTAGATGAAATTATGTTGTCATACATCTCAACATTACATATTGCATAACTAACAACAGATTTAATTAGTTTAGTCCTCTTTAAGCATTTGAGCTTAGTTTTGACGCACAACATGTTTCTGCACAAAGGGGGGCGGGGGGGGGGGGGGGGTGCATTTTTGACGGATGAATTTGAGATGCTGTCCATTTAGGAATGTAACCACATGGTGTAACTTGAGTGGCCTCTCTTGTCTTGTCAGGCTATTCCTGTACATCTCTGGGACATTTGAACTCTAAGTCTATTTTCCACTTGCTTAAAAGGGTCTCATTAACTCTACTTGCAGTAAAGTCTCTTCAAATATCTGGAACATAAACACACCAAATGGTTTTCAAGGACTTTTTTCATACACTTTGGAAGAAAAAACAGTTCCCACTGTATGCACAATCTCTGAGAAGATATAGCCTTTGGACCACTATACAATTCAAAAAGATATGTTAAATGGATTGGCATTATAGGTGTAATACTATTTACTACACTACAATACTGCAAAACAAGTCTAGTTGATCAATACTGAGAACAAAACAGGATCTAAAACCTATTGTATTGGAAAGTATACTAAATGCTGTAGCTAAATGGAGACGATTTGTTTTTTTAGATTATTTTACACACGTCTCTTAGCATACTGTCAAACCTTATTTTGTGTAAATGTCACTAAGATGTGACTTTGAATTGTTGTACTGCAATTTAGAAATGTACACTGATTCAACTAATAGGACTTCTTTGGTCAATTAATGTCTATATATTCAGTGAACGTCCATGGATAGGTATGTTTGTAGTCATAAGAGAATGAAACAGGAATTCCTCAGGTTTCTGAGTGAAATATCTTTTAAAGTTATTTTTGAAACGTCTTGGCCACAAGCAGTTTCTAAAAAAATCAAGCCTCTTAAAGGTGATATAATGGCACAATAAAAATGGTGGAAATCCCACCACTTCTATATTCTAAAAGAAATATATATGTCAAGGTTGATCATTCTCATTGATCAAATTATTCAATTTGCTAATATTAAACTTAAATGCCTAAACAATCTGACTTCTGAAGATCTCAATGACATGGTGATACCTCTTTGTGTTTTAAGATCTGTGTATGGGCAACATTAGTCCATGCTCTATACTTGTTCCAACGAGAATAAGCATTTTATAAATATATAAAAGCATTTGGTGGTTTGCTAAAGACAATGACCAGGAATTCATTTGAAGCTTTTTCCATCCCAATTAAGGATCTAAAGAAATGTAATGAAGATCAGTGAAGAGACATGTTTCTCGACCTGTTTTTATTAATGCAACAGACAATTTTCTCAGTCTATCAATGCAATTCATATTGAAATATTCAGGACAGATTCTTGACGTACACATGTTTTTGTCTCTGAAATTCCATAGACTGTAAGGTGCAACATACCGGAGGACTGGAACATCTGGGAAATGATGCCAGGAGAGGCTGTGCAGGGGCAAGAGGAATGTGAAGAAAAAAGATGAACGATGTGTGTGTGTGCGTGTGTGTGTGTGTGTGAGATTGTGAGTTGACGTCAGAGCTGCGTCTGTGCATGCTCTGGAGAGCAGGACATCCTGTGGAATTGTTCTCAGCGAGGCCCGAAGAATGTAAAGCAGAAACCTCTCCCTTCTCGTTAGTCTCTGCGAAATGTTGGAGTGGCACGATGACATCTAATTGCTGGAGAGGAATGAGGGTGGAGTGGGCTTCAGATTAGGCTTAAATTGTTGTTTGATTTTATTAATGTGCATGGCTCCCCTTTTTCTAGAGCATAGACTATATATATAAACATCAGAAAAAGCAAGAGATAGAAATGAAAATACTCAGCTATGCAAAGCACAACAGAAGTGTAAAAGAGAATGTTGATATTTGCTTTGCAGTTTTTGTGACTGTACAGGTTTTTCAGACAGAAAAGACGCCATGAGGCAAACATGTCTGCAGAGAAGTGAGTGTGGGTGTGAGGAAGGGAGGTAGGTAGGTGGTATGGGAGAGGAGTGACGCAGGCTGGATAAAGCGGGGGTGTTGTGGGTGTAGCTATTTTTAGCCACTGTGAGGAGACACATATTAGCTGCATTTCTTTGGCCTATCCCAGCTTCCTGCGTCACTTTACTCCTGGCTTGTCTTCTCTCCACTGAGAGTCATGTGACAGGTGCAACCCCGAGATCCAGAGGTGGGACACGAATACTAAGCAGCCGAGGATGAGGAAGACTGCAGAGAACAAAGGGTGGATGCTGTCTGTGAGTGTCTCCTCCCACAGGCTGAACAGTGAGATTATACCGCATCCAGAGATGTGCTCGTGATGAACTGTTCAGGGTGTTTCCATGCTTTCAGCGCAGTTCATGCTGAAACAGGCTTCAGCATCATGTGACCTTGTAAAAGAAAAATTAGGAATGATTTAGAATGTTCTTGACATATAGCCCACTGAATTTCCTCTTAACCTGATTGAAATATAAACATATTTTACAATATAAATGATAGATGATGTGTTATTTGGACAACATCTATTTGCTTAGCTGATCCTAATTAGTACATAAAGATCTTGTTGTCAACATGTTCAGCTACTAAAATGTCCCAGAAATGTGCAAAAAACATTTTAATCATTACAATTGATATAGTGATTATAGGTGTTGAGTTATAGTTGTTAAGTTTGTAATTCAACTCAATATTTTCAATTCCACCCAAAAAATGTGTTTTGTCTTCTTGGGTAATACAATTAGGTAAAGTGTGTATAGGCTGCACAGATACATGAGTAGTTTGCAATAACATTAAAGGATTAAAAGAGCGTAAATGGAGAAAACCTATTTAAAATGCCACAATAGAGTCTGTCTGTTTTGCTGGTAAAAAGAAGGTAAACATTTTGACATGAAGACATTCTGTACAAAATGTTGTATCTGCTCTGCAGATTGCATCATTTATGAATGGCAAGTGAGGCACAAAGCGGGGTGGAGCCATGTGAGAAACAAGTGCTTTTGATTGGATGATACAGTTAGACGGGTCTCGAGGTTCTTGCTGATTGGCTGTGTGGCCGAATGGGTGGAGCTTGTAGTGACAAGGGTTGTGGTGGTTTACGCTCGGTGGAGAAGTAGTGCTGCGTCTGTCAGAGCTAGGAAGGGAAACAGTTTCAATCTGGTTAAACCGCTCTGTTATGTGATTTTTTTTAATGTATATCCTTTTCACGCGGTCCACCAAGGCATGAGGACAAAGAGTTAAAAGAGCAAAACTGTTGCATCTTGCTCAATTCAAGCGAGCAGTCTGGTTTTACATTTGGACCTTTCAAATAAAAAAAGCTTTATGGAGCAGCAGCGGGGCATCTGTAGCTTCACCCCGGGTGGGTCCGCAGGCTGCGGGACTGGGGTCTCCACCGGTCAGCCCACTATGCGTTTGTGCATCACCTCGACCACCGGCAGCCCGGTGGAGCTCACTGTGCCCCTGGGAGAGACTGTGGAGGGACTGAGGACTCACATCTCCCACAAACTCAGACTGCAGACTAACAGAATCGTCCTTCTGTTTAGAGACAGGTGAGTAATTCCTCATGTTGAATAAAAGACATGTTTCTCCTTCAGTTCTCTTTGGTATTGTGTATGCTGATTGTATATTGCATGCTGACTGTTTAATGTGTATATGGCAGGCAGCTGACTGCAGGCAAACTGGTGGACCTGGGTGTAGCAGATGGAAGCAAACTGACCCTGGTCCCTGCCATTGAGGCTGGTTCAGCGGTAAGTAGGCCGGTGTACATCTCACCAGTGGAGGAAAACTAAGTAGGCTACACATATAGAGTAGGCACTGAAGTAAAAATATGAAGGTACTTTACAGCTATATTTATTTTCTGTTACTTTGCATTTCTACTTCATTACAACTCAAGATTAACAATATAATTGACAGATACATTATGGATTATTATGGATTAAGATAAAACTTGATTGATCCCTTTCACAAGCTAATTTTATTATCTAAAGAAAAAGGCTATATAAAAAATTCCCAAATACACAAACTGCAACATTAAATCACTGCTTCTTACACTATGGAGAAACACACTGCACTTACTTCATGAACACATTTAATCACACTTCATTTAGTGATGTCATGTTGATATTTTCTTACTGCAGTGCTCCACTGCCAGGGCTGAGAGAACCATAATGGATGTCTTGGAAAGTTTACCAGAAGTCAAGGTAAGATAAACGTATTTTCAATGCCATTCTGTTATTAACACTTGTTGTTGAATGCATGAATGAGGCGATTTAAAAACAAATGTTTTCTTCGAAGAACTCATGCTGAGGAAGTGAAGCTGCATGGTGTTGATTGAACAGCTGTATGATTGAGCTGTCAGGGGAAAATAAAAGCCTACACATTCTTGTTTTAATGTTTCGAGGAAAACATGCATACACATGCAAACATCCTTAACAAAGGCAATTCACACCTGATTACTGACAGTCATACAGAATCCTTCCCACACACAAACATTTGAACACATGTAATTCAATATTTCCATGTAGACTGAAATGTTCATAAAAACAAAGTGAGTTCAGGAGGCTGTGCTGTTAACAGATACACCATGCTGCTCTTTTGTTTTGTTTCTGACAAAGTCGTTTCCTTGCTGTTGCCACAGTATGAGTGCCAGCAAAACCTGAAAGATTGTAGATTTATCTCTGAAGTAACTTTTTCTATCCTGCAGATCAGTGACTTCCTGTCTGGGCGCTCGCCTCTGACCATCAACCTGGGAGTCGGAGCCCAAACGATGTATGTGCAGCTCCAGCTTACTGCACAGAACGTGGCAGATCTGAGAGCTGGGGGAAGCAGTGAGCTTCAAACTGACCTGCCTGCCGCCGCCATGACGAGCCCCCCTAACCCCTGCACCAATACCCCAGGATCCACCTCACCTGTTTCCCAAACATCAAAGTCTTCTGTCTCCACGTCCTCGATCCAACTGAGCTCTCAAAGACACAAAACTTCCTTTAACTCAGCAGCTCCCCCCTCCCACTCCCTCACCACAGCTCCTCCACATGAAGCCTTTACTCCCCGCTCAACACACACATCTCCTTCTGTTCTTTCAACCCCTTCTTTGCCTTCTGGTTGTCCACATCCCAGCTGCCCAGCACCAACAGCCACACCGGTCTGTCCTCCTGCTCCAACCGGCTCCATCCCTGGACCCCGCAGCCCAGCGCCAGCCTCCACCTTCACAGAGGTTAGCTCTATAAGTCTACTGCATTATGTGCTTGTCATTATCTTTAAATCATGTGATTGTGTATTACCATATGTCGATACCTGATTTAAATGCAATATAATTAAATCATAGGAAGAGAAATTATCATAATCAAGTTTTGGCTTGCCCTTATTACAATGCTTAGTCATAGTTTCACCACTATGCTATAGCAAGCTATTCCAAATATGGTCTTTTTAACAGATATAGTTTGTACTCCTAGTAATGGATGGTAAAAAACATGTGTTCTTTCTGTTTACAGAGTAATGTTCATGCCTCATCCACTTCAGAGCTGTGTAAGCAACCAGGAGCTGTCATAGAAAGTCTTGTGAGCCACTCTCCAGGTGTCTTCTCCGGGACTTTTTCTGGTAAGGGAGTGAGTTAACATAACAGCGCAATCATTTTCCATTATTTTAATTGAGATAGACAGAGAATAATATGTATAAATCCCCAAAGGGAAAAGTGTCACAGAAGTGCTGATAGGCCTATAATTGAAATCCCAATTATATATAATAACTAAACATAAACAATACGTTATCTTAATTGTATACATTAACCATGAGACTAAAGATAGGGAATACTCTTTAGTTATATAAACTGTACAATGATAGTGTTATTTTGTATCCTACATTATTACTATAAGTCAAATATATAATCTTGTATCCTGCAAGGTACAGAACTGTCCTTCGATATAAAAACACAATTCATTTCAAGGAGGGCAGACATTTTAAAGTTTTGTAACATTAGCTCAATTGTGTTTTCTGGGCGTTCAACTAACAATTATATTCTTTAATTGAGGTATCTGCAAAAGTCGTTATTGATGAGCTGATTAATAACTTTGAAATAGTAAAATGATTATAATAGCCCAAGAAGACATGTTCAGATTGCTTACTTCATTTGACCAGCTATTTAAAATATCTTCTATTTTATGAAAAAGATGAGCAGCTAGTTATTACATTTGAGCAGCTGGAAGAGTAAACAGATAGTTTTTGTTGGCCTAAACATTACTATACCAATTATTTGAGTATTATATTGCTTTTATTTTATCTTAATCCACTATTGTTATTGATGCAGATCCAATGTGTGCAGTTTTCTTATTCTCACTTGGTATCCCATCAGGCTCTCTGGCCCCTTGCAGTCAGACCGGCATCAGCCATTCTCGACGAGGCTTTGGCATCATTCTCCAGATCCTCCAAGACCTCCTCAGAGCGGCCTTCCTCCACCAGGGGGCTCAACCTGCCCCTCCTCATCTCCGCTGTCCTAATATGAACCCTCCTCCCGGCCCACTGCTCACAGCAGAGCAGCCAAGCAAAGCAAAAAGCAAAACACTGGTCACCCAGAGGGCAGAGCACAGTAAAACTCAAGGTGATCACATGATATTATACACTTGAATACTGCATGATTTGCTGGAGGCTGCATTCATAAATACATCCCCTTTTATCCATCTATGCCTGCTACTTGATGTTACTCCCTTTATTACCTCTGCCACATATTTCCATTAATTTGCTTTATTTTTGTATTTATTCTCCGTTGTACTAAAATATATTACCTGAAGATATACCGACCAGGAAGATATGTAAAAGAACCACAAAGACACATAAAACAGATTAAAAGAGACATAAAGCAACTACAAAAATGACAAAACAACCCTCAAATTAGCACAATAAGCAGGCAGTTCAACCACAAAGGCACACAATACAATCAACTAAATTGTCCACTAAGGGGCATAAAAGACCAAAAGAGACACAACATGACTATAAATAAATGCAGAACAACTACAAAGAGACACAAAAGGACTACCACGAGACACAATATGACCAAAAAAGGTACAAAATGATCGAGATAAGAGGCACATGTACCTGGGGATACAAAAATGACCTAAAAGAGACACACAAAAAAGAGCCATTATTAATCCTGCTTTATTGCTTTTGTAAGAGAGATGGGCCTTTGCCTGTCTGTCCCATGGTCTGCCCCCAGGGGCCCATTGTCTCATAGTTCAGCCATGCAGGCTTTATAATTAATTTCCACTGGGAGTCAGTGTATAAAGCACTCTCCTCTTTACTCTTCTACAACTCAAACTCAAATCTCCTGCAGATGTAATTATTTACACCAGAACATACCAACCAATAACTTTCTCATTGTGCAGCATGTCTAACAAATTGTTATTCCCCCCTATTGCAGGTGAGGAGAGTCCCCCCTCATGCTCGTCCACACACGAGAATCAAACATTGCACTATAAGCTAGAGCGCCTGCAGCACTTGATGCTTCAGAGGCGTCTTCGCAGACGGACTCGCAGGAACTCTCAGACGTCTCACCCATACCAGCACCGTCACCATCGTCCCTAGTCTCCTGCAGGGAAAATATCCTCTCACTGTGATCGCTGTGGCAGCTTTCTGGTGTCAAAAGAAGCCAATCTGTAGACCAAAGCTGACCTTTGAACTTGTGGACTTGTTTAAGAGCAGCAGACTGAACGTTGTCGCTATTTTTACACTCTGAGCAGTTCTAAAGAATGTATTTCCAAAATGTCTGTGGAACATGACTCCTGTGGCTGTCCCTGTGCCGAGTATTCATCTGGGTCTGTCCTTCACTGACATCGCTCTCATTGTCAAGAAAGGTTATAATGTACATTTTCATGATATACATTTTGGTGTTTGTACAAAGCGTACTTTGTGTTTGTTCGTTTATTTCAATGCCTTAAATGTCCATGTCTTGAATGTAAACTCTATGTTTGGTTCTGTGCCGAGGATGTTCCTCTTAAATGTTTTACTTATGCAATATATAAAGTGTAAACACAAAGAAGGGAAAAGAAGAATAAAGAAAAACTTTCAAAAAAAAAAAGGGTTGTCTTTGTCAAGCCCACTTTTGAGGACGTGTGCTGACTAAAACTTTCTGCACACATGACTGCGATTGCTGATGTAAAACAGGGTTGGTTGTGTGTGAGGCCTGCAGAAATGGGTGATCCTGCACTATTGGGCCAAAACCCCAAAACACAAATGAAATCAGAATAAAAAAGAACTAGACCAAAGAGCGACTCTGCAGGTCATGACCAAATCCCCCCCACACACAAAGGGGAAGAATCATCTGGCTGTAGACCTGAATGTAAATCACAGCAGGTTTGATAAGGACAGTTACGCCACACTCCTTTCCGATTCAGAATGAACCCCCCACCTGCACTCAGGTATGTGAACGGTTCTTCTCTTCCGACATCAACGACTCCACTGCAGGGGGTCAGTGATTTATCTTTCCTTAAACTGTTTTGTTGAAGTACATTGAGAGCAACTATCTTAAAAGCTGTGTCAAACTCCTTGTATACACACACAATATCAAACACACAGTTTTAGTGAACAGTGACTGCTTTAATGTTGACATGGGTGCACAAACTATCGACTGATTAAATAACATAAGATCATATTACTTCACAAAAATCAGAGAATGAACAATATATTTAAAAAAAAACATGGAATAAGTTACTCAAATCTGCCTACCAACATCATACAGCTCACTATGAACGTGTTATATCTTGTTTGCTTTATCACACATAATCAGGTTCATACAAACAAAACACCAAACCATTCAAAAATGTAGATCTTTATATATTGAATGAAATATGTTTTTACCACAAGTAAAATGTATGTGAAAATGTTTTAAGAGAAAAATATAACTAATAAATATATGTATAACCTATTGGATCTTCTGACTGCTGAGAGGAAGCAACTACTGATAACATAAAAATGCCAGCTCAATATTTCACACACTATTAATGTTGCCACTTCCTACCTTATTACTTTAATATGTTACGTTATTCTTATCTTACGTTTTCTAACGCTGCTAATTATTTTTGTTCAATGCATCTGTACTAATTATCGCTTATTTTATTAACATGTGCGTGCCTCTTTCTTTTATATGTTACTCTTCTACTCTACTAATCTTATACTAACTTTTTTTGAGATTGCTGACTCCTGTTATATAAATAAATATACAGTCAATGGTTATATTTGGATTGGCCTGGATGTCCCCACCGGTAGGTAGGGGGCGGTATGGGCCCTGCAGGTCTCATGGTGCCGCAGAAGAAGACTCAGTGCTCAGTACAGCTGAGCTCCCTCCTCCTCCCTCATTCGACCTGCAGCCCGTTCAGCATACACTTGTCCCTGCTACTGAAAGGGTAATTGCTATTTCAATATAATTAATGACATGTTTTCACGGTGAATTTACTTCGCAAATGTTGCATTCACTAGGCATAACTTACTTTTGATATATGCTCTATATGCTCTCGAATGCATTGCCAGCACAAGCTTGTCAAACCGTTTTAAATTGATTGTATCTAGTTGATTTAGGTTGGAATACAGGTGAAAATCTGTATTAGAACTAATGTTTTGGTTTAACTCGCTAACAAGTTATGTAAGATATTGTGGCCTGTCACCGCATTCCGAGCTGTCAGTTGACAGAAGTGGGGCTGGAGCTCCGCGATACAAAATGGCGCCGAGAGTGAAAGTGCTGGCTACCTAATTCTAGAGAAGGGTCCAGCTGCGGCCGCGGCAAGTACACGACACTACACGACACGCCCCCTACACGACACGCCCACCTGACACGACACTACGGTGGCTGAGAGACATTACCGTACATGGCAGATTAAAAACGAATTGCTAATGTTATTGTAGCATTTTAAGCAACTATTAGGCAAATAAATTAATAACCTAGTCTATCCGTTTGAGACACAACAGTATAACTTTCAACCCAAATCATTTTGTCAACAAACGGTGGTTTAGTAAACTTTTTTTTAATATATAAAATAGGTATTAATGAGATAATCTATTAATTATGTTTGTCTAACTGCTACACATGTATTTATACATAAATGTAGATATTTGTGAACATCTAAATATAGTTGTTAAAGGTTTTAAGATATACATAATCACATCATGGGGTCATTAAGGACCAAATTAGGAGGGCCAGTCAGGCCACTAATGAGATCAATCATTCACATGTATTATTATTACTTTATAAATTAAAAGTACTAGGGGTCTATTACAAAACCTTTGAAGGAATCGTCATGCATTCTGAATGTTTCTGTACTTTAAAAACATCATGGCTCAAGATCCTGTTCTTGTTCAAGATTATTCATACTCATTTGTGAATTTAACATCCATATTCACTCAAAACTGAAACACCAACATTTTTTTTTAAAGCATTGCAGGCCTAAAGCTCCACGTCAGTGACCTATATTTTAATTTCTTCCATCAAACTTTAAAAATGGCAAACAGCATGTTTTTAAAGATTTAATCTTTTAAGAAACAAAATATCAAATTTGAACAGAAGGGTTTAAAAACACGGTTTTAATGCAAATAAACTTGAAACATAAACCTATTTGTCATTTCAAAATTCACTTGTATTGTCTGCGTGAAAGGCACAGTAGGCTATGAGCGAATACATATCAACATTAAAAAAAATGACAAAGTCGTACAATATATACCATGTGCTACTGTCTACGATTAAGTATGATGAGACTTTTTTTAAGGAGGGACCCCAGAGCCAAGGGCAGGCCGAGCAGACCGCCTTCTCCCGCCGCAGGCTTCCCCGGTGATGGGCTCCGTGTAACAAGTCCCCTCAGTCTGTGCGGGGAGCTGCACCACGGTGATGCTGCTGTCATCGCTCGCCTCTCCTCCGGTGGTGCCCTCGGCTCCCTCCGCCGCCACACTGCCCAGCACACTGGAGATCACTAATGTCTCTCAGCCACCGTAGTGTCGTGTCAGGTGGGCGTGTCGTGTAGGGGGCGTGTCGTGTACTTGCCGCAGCCGCAGCTAGACCATATTGTAATCCTATCCCATAGAGTGGCAAAGTCCCTCCCCTTCCGGTGGACCTCCATGGGACCTTATTTCGGAAAAATTATGTATTGAAGTCAATGGAGAGAGAAAGATTATCTTTCGATCCCGTTTGAATTGTGCCACGAATTACACATATGATGTTTGTCAATTTAAAAGATAATTTTGCAAGTCAAAAAAAAAAAAAAATGTGTCGTAAAAACTGTGAAGTAACACATTTGTTTGTGTGAAACGCTCAATGAACTACATCTCTGGTCAACAACACACGTCACCAAGATGGCCGTCACTACTGTCTTGTCAACAAAACGATTGACTACCCTCACTATCACCACAATGAAACACGTCCTGAAGAATGTCATGCAAAGCTGCCTGCCTGCCTTCCTTTGATTCTCTCTGAACTGCCTGGTCGTTTTAATGTTTAATGTCAACCATTTGTGCAGATAGCATGAAGTAGAGAAGATCGCTAGCGTTAGCGTTAGCATTTCTCCCCCGGGCTTAAATTGTGTATTATAGAATGATCACACCGGTGACAGTACTCTTCAAAGGGTTCACGAAATATGACTACTACTCTTACTGTTTAACATTGTGGGTTACTTAATGTTACTTCATGTTAAGGCTAATAAAAATGACAAGGCTGTAATGCTAACTAACGTGCTAGCTACTAGCTAGCTTGATCCAGAGTACTCCTGGTCCTTTCATCAGACGGGAAGCGAAAGAACGAGCAAGACCCATTGCTGGTATAATAACAACCTGATACTAAGCACACAGGCATCTTGTTAAAGTTATCTTATCTTAGCCAGCGCCATATCGATAGATTATATCGATATGGCGCTGATCTTAGCTATCTCTTATCTCAGTGGAGGAAAACGATTGTGACATCACTTACGCGACTCTGGGATTTGTAGTCTTTCTAGTTACGTATTTTTCATAGTCTTATATTTCAACAGTTTTACGACAAACTGTGACTTTTTTGACATGGAAATTATTTTTTAAGATGGACAAACATCATATGTGTAATTCATGGCACAATTCAAACGGGATCGAAAGATAAGTTTTCTCTCTCCATTGACTTCAATACATTATTTTTCCGAAATAAGGTCCCATGGGGCGGAAGTAGATGGGCGTGACTTCGCCACTCTATAAGGGCCAACACACTCAGGCGCCTGCGGCCTAGCTGGTAGAACAGCTATAAATGGTGGCCGTGCGTTACATTTGAGAAAATGCACAATAAAATGTCATGATTAGCGTGTGTACGGTTAATTGGGATTTATTGTATTGTTTGACACCAAGAATATCGTTTTGTGGTTAGGGTTTGCCGATTACCTACTTTCGTTTTGCTTTAGCAGACAATATTTGCCAATGTTGGAAATTTGTTTTAATGTAATGTGTAAATATTAACGGTTTTATTTATTTTTTAAAGATGTCGGACGAAGGTAAATTGTTCATCGGAGGACTGAGCTTCGAGACCAACGAGGACTCTCTGGCCGCGGCTTTCGACAAATATGGAACCATCGAAAAAGGTATAGTAGGCTATTTACTGTTACAGTTATACATACTTTTACAGTTATACATATATTTATCTTTTTCAATTATAAATATATGTAATTTTTTTTTATTTAAATTCTAGAAAATGTTGTTTTAAATATTAATTTTTCCCCGTTCCTCTTTCCCATTAGTGGATGTGATCAGAGACAAAGAGACAGGGAAGTCTCGCGGTTTCGGCTTCGTGAAATACGATAATTCAGAAGATTCTAAAGATGCACTTGACGGCATGAACGGCAAGGTAAACATCACTTCACAAAATACCTCTGCGATCAACGTGTTTGCAATCAGAATAACTGTATTCTCCCACAGTACGAGGCATGCATAACATTTTAAAGATAGAAATGACACAAATTACTTTTTGGGAAAAATACACATCCAGGTGGAAACAAAAACTATAAGCAATTATAATAAATAAATAAAAAGTTGGAGAAAGTATTAATCACCTGTCATTTGAACAGTTTTTA